TAGGTAAGTTTATCCCATTGATTGTGATGTAATCGCAAATGAAATCAACAGTTTCATGAATAGGAACATCTCTTTTTCTCACTTACCGAACATTTTCGATCCCTGTACCTACCTACGATTAAAGGACGAAATTCTATGGACTCTAATTCAAACTCTATCTACAAGTTCACCTGCAGCTGTGGTGACACCTGTATAGTTAGAACCAACAGAATGTTCCAATGTCGTCGTCGGAAAGAAAATGTTCCAAAATGGCTACTAAATCATATAGAAAATCCCAACGTGATTAGTCTGAATAGAAATCCAGCATCATCCATTGCAAAACACTTATTAATGTCAGGTCACAAAATCAATATTAATATCTGTTTTACAATTATTTCTTTATATTTATCTGAAGTCCTGTCTTAGGTGCTTTGTCAGCCAGTTTGTTTGACATTAAACATTAACCATCCATGAGTAAAATCCATATCTTCTAGAGTCTCCTCATAGGTCAGTCAAACGTATCCTGTCTTCTCACTCCCATACACAGTCATCCGCATAATCTAGTCCACAAAAATTAAGAATATTGTCCGTGACAAATGGCTCACTGAGGTTTCCGTTTGGAATCGCTTGACATGTGGCATTGTCATGTAGCCAGCTTTTGAATAAGGTTGATAAATATTTGGGACACTGCACGTCATAGCAATGAAGTAGTATTCAAATAAACTTCTCAGTCAGTGATGCGCTATTGAGGCCCTTAGCCAAGTCGATGGAGTTAAGGGCCAGGTTTGACTGCCATTGCATGCTTTGTTTTGTGGTAATGATGCGTAGACTTGCAATTTTTGATGATCACACGGTTTGCATTTCCTGAATTCAGTTTGTTTTGGTGTGGCCTAATTCTGTATCCAGTCCATCTCTTAGTCCCTCCAGGAGGACTTAGCGTCTTAGCAACCTAAGGGAATAATAATAACAATGGCATATATCCTTATGCTTCAACCTCGCCTAAAATACTAGCTCGCTAGCTTTCTAACCGGTCCCAAGCCCGGATAAAGAAGGAGGGTTGGGGCGTGGTGCTAGCAACACCACCCCCAAAACTTAACCAAATTGTTACAGAAACTTCAACGCATAAATATATTAAAAATACAAAAAATAACCTTATTTTTCGCTGGAATCGGGGAAGTGAAATGACGCAGGCTGGTGAAAGCCTTCGGGAAGCCAGTCAGCCGATGTGCCGCCTCCTTTCAATGAAAGAAGAAATAAGGATGAGGACGTGGAATATTCGTCCTATGTACGAAACTGGAAAGGCTGCTCAGGTAGCCACAGGAATGAGAAGATATAAAATAGAAGTGTTGGGAATCTGCGAGAGCAGATGGAACGGATGTGGAAGGTGCCAACTACCAACTGGAGAGACAGTAATCTATTCCGGTCCCCCAGAGGACAACCACGAGCACACCGAGGGAGTGGCCATCACGATGTCACCAACAGCAGTCAAAGCTCTCATGCAGTAGGAACCAATCTCCCCCAGGATAATGACAGCCAGGTTCAACTCAAAAGGAAGGAGGGTTACAATCATTCAGTGCTACGCACCTACAAACGTCTCATAACAAGAGAAGAAGGAGGATTTCTACAGACAACGACAAATAGTAATGGACAACGTCCCAAATGACGACATCAGAATCCTGATGGGTGATATGAATGCGAAGCTGGGAGGAGACAATACAGGAAGAGAACTCACCATGGGCCATGAGGCCCTCAGTGAAATGACCGACAATGGTGAACTCTTCTCAGACTTCTGCGCTTTGAATGATTTGGTGATTGATGGCAGTGTGTTTAAACACAAGGATATACACAAGGCGATATGGATTTCACCAACAGGGACACATTAAAAACCAGATAGACTTCATTTGAATCTCAAGGAAGTGGAGACGGATCCTATTGGAGCCTCCTACCCTTATGCTTCAGAGTTCTTTGAAATCCCACCAGATGAGTAAATAAAAAATGAAGTGAAAAGTGAAAATTTTACTTGATATATTGCAACACGTATAATTATTCCAATAAAACTGGCATTTCATATGTAGATCTTCCGTTTCACACCTTTTTCTTCCCCTTTTCTTTTAATGCCTGCTAGCTAATCTGATTATACAATGTCAACTTATGAGTGACTTACCAGAGAACAGCTTGAATTTTACCTCATTTTTTTTCTATTTCTCCTCACCTAGTGTTAGATGATTTCATAGATTGTGTATGTCTTTTTGTTTGGATTCTATATATGATATGATATGATACATATTCAGTGATTACTTACCCCTTCCCCCCCCCCAAAAAAAATTAGAATTTTTGACGAATTCACCTTTCATTGTTTATATTTATGGAAATCAATAACCTGGTTCAAATGATGGATGACACAAATAACAGCCAGTAATACACATTGACTGATCGCTTATTTGTTTGTTTATTTGTTATTTTTCCTTTTCTTTCACTTGGGAAACTGATGGAAAAAAATTGTTTACCAGAAGATTTCTAAGAACAATGTTGTTGTTTGTAAAGCGTTGACAGCCACCAAAAAAAGCTTACAATCTGATATCTGAGTCCCAAACTAAGCTAACGAAACAGCTGTCCAGTACTCCCTGTGGCTGGCTTTCCAATGGTTCTCTAACCAATGTCAGCTCATGATGAAATCCTGTAACCAATCAACCAAATCCCTGCAGAAACCAATACTTGAATATCAATGAGATGCTCACTGGTGACTGGCCCTATTCAGCTAGGTAGGTAGTTACCTGGGGCTCCAGCGGGAAGTCGTGACCAATAGGGTGCAGCAGGTCGGGTGTGAGGACAAATACTCGCCAATACCAATCAACCAAAAAACCCTACAAAACAATACTTGAATCTGATATCAGTTTGGGAACCATTGAAAACCATCAAGGAGTGTAACAACAGAAGACAAGGGCCAGGCAGCAGATCGTTTATTAAGGAAAATCAACACATATTTATAGATTTGAATGTACATTATTGTAGATTATTGTTAGTAGAAAATACAGTCTTTTGATTGGTTGTTTCTCACCGAAAGTTAACCTTGCATCTCTTTGTGGCTGTGTCAGATCATCCATATGCTAACTGTATCCGCCTACGCAAAGCCTTTGTTCTCATTTTCTCATCAACAATATTGGGGACATAAACATTGACGTCAATTACTGCCTACCAACTTTGACTAGCAGCCAGCTCTCACCACAGGAGTACTGGATAGTTAGTTGTCTTCACCATAATCTTGGACTCTTCAGTATTATACATCCGTGATCCCATCAAGGGTTGGATCAAGAACCATTAAGAGTGCAATCCAATCACCCACAAATTCTGCTACTGTAACAACAGAAAACAAGTGCCTGGCAACAGATCGTTTAATAAGGAAATCAACACATATTTATATGTTTTCATGTACATTATTATAGATTATTGTAAGCAAACAAACACAGTCTTCTGATTGGTGGTTTCTCGTTGAACGTTAATCTTTCATCTCCTTGTGACTGTTTCTTCAAATTGTATCCGCCTACGCAAAGTCTGCTGTGATTGCTTGTTGAGTCAGTGTTTGTTCTTATTTATCTCATGACCAATATTGGGGACGTGCACATTGACATAAAATTACTATCTATCGATTTTGGCTAGCAGCCAGCTCTCACAACACTCGTCCTCCCGTCAAAGACTTGCGACTGAAGTTGGTTTACGTCTTCTTGGTTCTAAGGGCTTCGTTCGTTTGTCCTGCTGTCTGGAATCTCGGCGCTCGTTGATGTTCACCTGTTTCTCTTTGTTTGCCTTTGCGATTGTGTCTGCATAACTGCATTTCAACGTGACCATATGTGGTCCTTCCCACTTTGAAACCTGTTTGCCTGACCCTGTCGCACATTCGTCTGTTTTTCGCCTCACACTTTCATATGCTGCTTTCTCCCGACCTCCAAGCAGCGTCCCAAGTAACAGCCTCATCGCTGACAGATCCTGAACGCCATGCAACTGCGGAGAAGCTTCGAAGTCCTGCCCGAAGTTCCATATGTCTCCATCAAAAGCTGCAGGGCATAGGCTTTCCATTTGTCGGTAGGCAGCGACATCAAATGTAACAACAGAAGATAAGGCCAGGCAACAGATCGTTTATTTGAGAAATCAACACATATTTATATATTTTCATATACATTATTATAGATTATTGTAAGCAAACAAACACAGTCTTCTGATTGGTGGTTTCTAATTGAACGTCAATCTTTCATCCCTTTGTGGCCGTTTATTGAAGTTCAGAGTATTTTTCTGCAAATTGTATCCGCCCACGCACAGTCTGCGGTGATTGCTTGTTGAGTCAATCTTTGTTCTTATTTTTCTCTCCACCAATATTGGGGACGTGCACATTGACGTAAATTACTATCTATCGATTTTGGCTAGCAGCCAGCCCTCACCATACCGCTAGTTCGTGGTATGTAATGCTCTAGATAACCAGTGTAATCAGAGAGTTTCTGTTCTCGAGCCAAACTTGACTGATCCCGCTGTGATAATGACTTCCCAGAAGAACTTCAATCTACTTCAACCTGAAGTCGGTCAGTAATAAGCGCCAGAATAATTTCCTATTGTTGGTTTGAAGGGATTTGTAAGATTTCGATTTTGATAACTTAGAGAACCACTAGAAACCAAGAGGTAGTTCCTGAACAGTACTAACGTCTATCAAATCTCCGAATACTAAAATCACTTCGAAATCCAAAATGATAATGCGTAACATTTGTTCAATAACCAAAATGAAGTTTGATGGCCTTATGACCGTTGCAATATGTGTTTAGATTAGTTCTCGAAGGGTTTAAAACCGAAACGAAACGGATTGTTATTCAAGTGTTGATTTGAAGAGATTGGAGTGACATCTGATACAGTATCATTGGAATACCAGCACCAGAGTACTGGATATCTGTTACGTCTTAGTTTGAGGCTTTTCGTCCGTATGCATCCACCCAACTAGGGTTCGAACCCAGGACCTTCTCGGTACAAGGCTAGCAAGCTCATAGACCATTAAGCCACTGAGACCCGATCCAATGGCCAGCCCAATGAATTCCAAATTCTGCCAACTGACGATTTAGCGTGACTGGTTCAGGTGCTCGAGATCCATAACTTTTGGCAGGTATTGGAACGGAACTATCACAATCGGATATGTTTAAATACTCTTGTGGCAGTCTTAAATCTAGAACAGAAAGTTCGCCAACTGCATTTCCAGAAACAACGCGTAATCCTACGCCAAGTGAATTATCATATACTAGTGCTCTTGTTATAGGTCGAGTAGTAGCCAAATCTGGAAGTACTGCACTGTGCTTTCCATGAAGTTTGCCATGTTTGTGACTTGAACGCCATGCATGTCGACCACACCGCAAATCATATAAATCTAATTCACCATGTCTTGAAGCTGTGAGTACAAGCTTTCCGTTATTTCTTGGAAAAAACTGATGTCTGAAATCCATATGGGTTCTACGAGTTGTAAAACAGATGGACGAACATTTTTGGGTGCGAAAACTGTTTCTATAGGGTTATTAATGTCCCATATGCACAGTGAAACATGTTTACCTCCTATAGCAATCTGACCAGATGTCAATCTAGCTGCACATAAATGACCTTTAACAGACAATTGCAGAGTTTCAGTAGTGAGGTCATAATCAAACAGTTTCACACTCCCAGACGAGTGAGCTGTAAAAATGAAATTATCATGGGACTGCAAACCAACAACAGAACCCTCCGTCAACTTCGACAGCTTATCCAAGGAAGTTGATGAACCACACTTGATATCAACACTGTAAATTTTCTCTGAATGACACCCAGCAAACACTTTAGATTCATCTCCGTCACACCAGCATATAGCAGTAATATTCTCACTTTTAAGTAAGGAAACTGGTGACAAAGAATGACTACATATCGATAATCCTCTCAGAAAGCCGGTAGATGAATCGATAACTACATTGAAACAACCAGAAGAAAACCCCATGTGACAAAATTTCAGATGTTCTGTGTACGGAAGATTACGGATTAACCAAAAAGAAGTAACCAATGACATCCGGGGTGAGTATTAGTCCTCATAGTCGACCTGCTGTACCCCAGTGGTCACGAATCGCACACTAGGTAGAGGTGATAAAGGAGATGCAGTTATCGAATATGACGAAGTAGCTGTCCGGTACTCTCAGGTTTGCCAATGGTCCTGTAGCCAATCTCACTTCATGATGAAATCCTGAAACAGGTTTCTATTGCCTCATGATTAATTTGCTCACTGCGAAAACACACCTGAGCCTTTACCTAGGCTGAGAATAGCGATGTTAGTATTACGTTTCAATTCTTTTCCGGTTTTTTTAGCGTTAGAAGTGAAGTTAAGATACTTTCCTACACTAGATGACAGAGACTTGACGAGGAATGTAAAATATCTTAGCCTTCAAACATTCTTAGTGGTTAATAGAAATGGGAACAAGAGACTTTAGATCGTGAGTGGCAACTTATCTGAAAAAGTGAGAAATTTGCCACTACCTGAAAAATAGGACTAATTAACTACATTCTTTTTTATGTGCAGTTCAAATTGCAACTCTACTCATCATCACCATCATCACAGAACAAAGAGTGGACTGGCAGTCAAACCTTACTCTACCTCAACTTCATCGACTTCGAAAAAACCTACGACAGACAACGTTGACTGAGAAGTCATTTGGAGACTACTTGAACACTACGGCGTGCAGTGCCCCAAGTCTTTTTCAGTCTCATTCAACAGCTGGCTATTTGACAGTGCAAAGCGTCACGTGATCCACAATAGAAAACACAGCGAGACGTTCGAAGTGGAGACTGGTGTAAGACAAGGCTACTGCCTATCATCACCGATGATATTCTCAATTGTTGTGGACTGGATTATTCGGATGACTGCGCACGGGCGTAGGAAGACAGGAATACGTTTGACAAACGGGTAAGAGGATTCTTGAAGATCTAGATTTCCCGTGTGGATCATTTATAGTTGATGCCACACAAACAAACTCGAGGACTTGCGAGATAAATCCAACAAACTGATAGAAGAGGCAAGGCAAGCAGCTAGGGAAGACAGGAGTCCAAGTGAACATAGAGATGAGAGAGATAGGTGATGAAGATAACCAACCAACCGACTGTAACAACAACAATCAGAAGCAATCACCATCAGCGGGAGAAATTTGACTGAGACCAGTCATTTACTTCAATTATCAAGCATGGTTTCAAACACAGGCAGGCGGATACCACGGATCAAGATATGAAAGTAGGCCATTTAGAATTGAAAATGCAAGATACGCATTTATCAGACTGAAACCCGTCAGTTAGGAAATCTCCTGCTTCACCGACTCACTCACTCAGTCAGCATGAACAACAGGATTCGGATCCTGTTCAACACAAATGTGAACTTAGTCAGTCCCTGCCGACATATGGATCAGACACCTGGCTCAAGAGCCACAAATAACATTTCCAACAAGTCATGGCAGACTTTTGTCAGCAGCTGGCTCCTTCGCTGACTCCATACTGAAGATCAAATGGCCGGCCAGCCGGCCGGTGGAAAGAATTAGCAACACGAAACTCTGGCTGGGAACAAACCAACAAGCAAAAGCCGACTTCTCAACAAATATATGCGAGGAAATGGAGATGGATAGATTGGGTATGCACCACTGAGGAGGTGGTCAAATTTCATCGCGCTCAGTACAGGCCAATGCTCAAGTGGAATCCCACTGAGAAGCAGAAAGTGTGTCTTCAATGTGAGGGTGACATGAAGTAGATCGTTTGGAGAGGAGGAGGGGGAGATAAGAGATTATGGGCAATCATGCAGCTAGCCAACTGAAGAAAACAGCGGAGAATAGAAGAAAGTGGAGGTGTGTTTTTGAATCCCTATATTCCACTTGGAACCTGAGGGAATTATACTAATAATATCTGTAGTTTTCAATTATTCAAATATTATTACTTCCTTGGGTCAGATAACATACTCGTAATTGGCTTTCAAACAAATATTGTTCAATTCTTGATGGAGGCAGAGAAGAAATATCGTAAAGTGGATTGCATATTAGTTTGTTTATTGGATATATCACACAGTGAAACAGTATTGTTGACTGGATGACACAGTTTCGAACACAATTCATTGTTCATAATCATATCAACTGTAATCATGCGACTTCGAAACTTGAGTTTTATGGTTCTCTTTGTCTTCCCCTATTTGTCGTAGGGGTAGTAGAATTTTCCACCCACAAACTCAATTAGAAACAAGCTTTGTCGGTTAAAGGATCCAGTGGAGCCTTTAAAACAAAACAATTTAGTTTATCTCATACCCTGTCAGCAAAGACTGTCAGGTCAGTTACATAGGTAAAACTAGTAGAACAAGGGCAGTCAGACTAGCCGAGCATAAAAACGTAGCTAAATCTAGATTAGTTAACTCAAATAAGATTTTTTAAAAATCTAGAGAATAGTTCAGCTATAGCACTCACTGCATGCAATTACACACAACTACATAATAGAATGGGATAAGATGACAATTTCTAAATCTAATGTCACAGGGTGGAGGGAGAGATTGATAACGGAAGCGGTATTTGTCGAATCAACTGCCAACACGTTTAATAGGAATGATTCAACACTTGTCCAGCCAGAAATCTGAAAAATTCTACTACCCCTACAACGACAAATAGGAGAGAATAAAGAAAACTATAAACTCAAGTTTCGAAGTCATGTGATTATAATTGGTGATATGATCATGAATGGCAATAAATTGTGTTCGACACCTTGTCATCCGGTAAACAGTGATACTGTTTCAGTGACTGTGTGATACATCTAATAAACAAACCAATATGGAATTACTTACTACCACAGTTCCCAAGTTTTACACATATATTAGTAAGGTGTATTGGTTTTCTCTTCAGGTCAGACAGCAATATGTCATGGGTTTTTACTATCAGTTTGTATTTTACTTGATCATCCTGGACAAGGAGAAACTATCACACAATAATTTTCGCTGAGAAATCTGTACATTACACCAACACTTTTTGGAATTAACCTACTGTTTTTATTACTTTCGAGGAACACAAAATATAGATCTAAGTATACATTTGTTATACTTGCAGAGAACCCACCGGCCTCTGAAGATTAGGGCGGGTTAATAAGTAACTGTGATGATGGCGGATGAGAATGTTAAAGTAATGATACCTCGGAAGTAGATACCAAGCGTCACTGGGACAGACGATACATAAAGTTAACCTTAACAGTGTTTTTAACTGCATATATAAAATACCTTTCGGCAAAATACTGAAATTTGTCGAAGAATTTGCTATAAAAGACTTAAGCCTGTTATTTCCTTGGGTTCCGAGTGGAACATAGTAGGGCTTCAACAACACATCTCCACTTTGTTCTATTTTCAACTCTCCTCCTTAGCTGGCTAGCTCCACGACTGCCTATCATCTTGCACTGGCGACCCAATTATCGCTTTCCATTGGGGTTCCACTCAAGGGCATGGCGCTCGATATTAACCTGTTTTACAGCAATCTTGTTTTCGTGACCAGCCATTAAAATCAAGGTTTGTTCACAAAACACCATCTACCTTTTACTTTTAATTGTGGAACTGAATCGTCATTTAACACTTTCACTCATATTATTGTAGTTTTGGCATTTGATATGCTGCTAACCTTCATATATATAAATACATGACAAGTGCGTATGTCATTGTGTGCTATCAGGCTGTTCAAAATGTGTTTTGCGCCAATACACAGATAAATTACGTCGTATATTATTTTCTTTTCTGTCGAAATTCATAAATATCACCTAAGCACCCTAAATTTATGTAGAGTAGTCGCGTTACTGCATATATTAGTGAAGGATGTCTTCGTGAAAAAATTGACGCCAGATGGTAAATTTTTCAAAAGGTTGAAAATCAAACGTCTAGACACCAGGCACATGATAATATTTCTATTATTTGTCATTCGGGTCCACTTTGCAAACCTTATTGATTGGTTATGTCAGACGGAAATGTTCGATCTCTGTTCATATTGAAACAATTGGTCCCTTTGATAAATTTGAATAAGGCATTAAGAGGACAAATTCCGCGAGATGATATCATCATTTCGTAGTTTCTTTACAACCGCTTTACAACTAACATGGTTAACAATAATCAAATAAAGATCATGACAATTACTCAGTTAAATAAAAAACAAAAGTACATACTAATGACCAATCACATTTAGACAGGTCATGTTGCCCAATGTAGGCGAAGATTGAAGTCGATTGTTTTTTGTACACACCGTTTAGGCTGTATGTGATTAATCCCCAAAGTGCTTCCATCACATTCAATAACCTTGAATTAGATTTATGTGAAATAATTGTGAAACGGTCATTAATATTGATTTTTTGACCTGACATTAATAGGTGTTTTGCAATGGATGATGCTGGATTTCTATTCAGATTACTCGCATTGTGAGTTTCTATATGATTTAGCAGC